TTGATTCTTATTTAATTTTGAGACAGGGTCTCACTAAGTTTAGGAGGCTGGTGTTGCTTGAACTTGTAATCCTCCTGCCTCAGCCTCTTGCGTCGCTGGGATTGCTGGCCTGTACCCCTATACTTGGTGAAATAACAGTTTCTTGAACACAAGCCCTGCAATACTGTCACAGTCAATTTGTATGGTTTTTCTGTTTTGGTTTGGTTTTTGGTACGGGGGATTGAACGCAGGGGCACTCAACCACTGAGCTACATCCCCAGCCCTATTTTGTATTTTACTTAGGAACAGGGTCTTACTGAGTTGCTTAGCACCATGCTGTTGCTGAGGCTGGTTTTGAACTCAAGATCCTCCTGCCTCCCAAGTTGATGGGATTACAGGCATGCACAACTATGCCCAGCCATTACAATTTGACAACTAAGAAGTCTAAATGACTGAAGGGTGGGCGGCACATTCGGTGTGAATACATGACTTGGCGTGATGGAGCAAGACAATGGGAGATTTCATCATGCTACTCAGGATGGCACACGATTTAAAACTTATGAACCACTTCATACTCATTTAATATTTTCAGACTGCAGGTGACTGTGGGTAACCAAAACATATATAAGGGGGAACAACTGTAAAGTCCTGGGCAATTCAGGATGCCCCAAAGATGTCCTTTCTTTGTCCTGGATTCCCCCCATTTAGGTGGGACTCAATCAGTGATCATTCAACACTCTGTCTCTGGGGTCAACATGGTTCAGTTTGCTGTTTGAAGTCCAGGTGAGATAACCACACTGTGCACACATGAGCTTAGCTGAGTCATCAGGACTGTGCAATTTTAAAAAGGAGTGGTGGGTGGCAACCTGCCCTACCTCTCCCACAGTCTCTAGAGAGGCAGAGCTCCACAGCTCTGCTTCCCAAGGAGGTGATCAAAGGGTGAGAACAGAGCCCAAGCAGACAGGTGAAAGCACTGGGATAACTGCCCAGAAAAGGGAAAGTCGGGCAGTCATATCCCAGAAGGAAGATACCACAGTGCCCTGGGCCTCCTGCTGCTGAAGTCAGGTAAGGAGGGCAGATGGTCAAGTTCACTTGGGAGGTTGATCCTTTATTGTTGATTATGCTTGCAGTTCCCTTATAACATCCTGCAAAATGTGCCTAATTTGCATCCAGTGCCTGTGAAGTTGGTACAAATATTGGTAGAATGTCTCTCTGTATCGTGCTGGGTGCTAGGAGTTGGGACAGTGACCAGGACAGATGTAGTTCCTGCTTTCCAGAACTTCGGTTTATTATGGTGTGATCCGTGTGCCCAGAGAACTATATCCACCTGCTCCTGCTGCTGGGAAAAGCTCTGGTATCTGCTCTCTACCTCCTGCTTGTTCCGGCTGTGCACCACAGCCCCTAAACCCCACCCTGCCTTCAATATCATGGAGGCTAGGCTTCCCCATATTCTCAAAAGGGGAGAACTGCCTGGGATGGACAGAGGGTCTCTCTAAAAATGGAAAAAGTTTATGCAAGTTTTCTTTTCTGAATACCTTAAAATCAGAGACAGCCGAATGTTTTCTCTGATAAGCAGATGCTGATCCATAGTGGGGTGGGGGGATAGGGAAGAAAGAAGGAACTTTGGTTTGTGTAGAGGGGACTGAAGGGAGGGGTGGGGCGGTGGGGATGGGAAGGACGGTATAATGAGACAGACATTATTACCCTATATACATGTACAATTACACTACTGTAGTGACTCACACCAGGTACAGCCAGAGGAATGAGAAGTTGTGCTCTGTTTATGTACAATATGTCAAAATGCATTCTACTGTAAATAAATAAATAAATATTCTGTGGCCAAAAAAAAAAAAAAAAAATCAAGGACTCCTCTCCAGGCATCCCTTGTCTTGTTTTAGTTGTAGGTGTGCTGGTTCTAGCCACACACCTGATCAGCTGTCACATACAGGGCACTTACAGATAGGGACTGCTGGTGTTTGGGATTGAAAGATGAAAGCCATGGCCTGTCTTAGCTAGGGATAGAACATGCACCAACATATTCTATTGCAACCCCACATTACATCTCAGGCTGAGATGGTCAATACCTACTACTCTGGCATATCGCAGATTTTTAGGAAAACTTCAGAGTTTTATATTCCAGAGAGGAAGATATGTTGAACATTCAAGTATGGTTTCCAGGAAAAAGATTGGAGTGACTTCTAAAAAGTGCACTGGTGGCTAAGATACGGGGTTTGGGGTTGTCTCTCTTAAAAGCTTTCCCAGTTTTCTAAATGTGGAGTGATAAGGGCTCTGGCCAAGGAGGGGACTGGGCAAAGAGGGGACTCAATCTGAATGGCATTAGTACCTATGTAGTGATGGGTATGAAGGAAGAATCAGATGGCTCCAAGGGACTGATATGAAAGAGCTAAGAGGTAGTAGGGAATAGCCAGTTTTCCAGATTAGTTCCCACTGTGCTAAAGGAAGACAGTAAAGTTGACACCATGGATAGATCTCTAGGGAAGTTCCATTGCTGGATCTCTGTGGACAGGAATGGCTGCCAGTCGCCAAGTTCTTAGCTGAAAGGGGCAACTCTTGGCAGGAGCAAGCCTCTGCAAACCCCTGGCAGGATCCTGAACATGTAACATGTAGTGACTAAAAGGCACATAAATTGTGGTTTCCTAGCAGGGCCCTCCTCCTGCCTTGAGTTTCCAGGATGGAATCAGGGAGGTGCTGGGGCATCGTGGTAGGTGGGGCATCCTGCCTTTCTTCTAATTGGGTCCTGACCACATTATATCCAATAGAACCTCCTCTGCTCTGGCAAAGGACCATGTTCATGTTCATGCAGGTTTCTCTGAACATGAATAGGCCATGAACTTCTTCCCCAGGAAGTTGGAAGGTGAGAAGCCAGACCACAGTGCTGGGCTAGTATCTTCCTGGCATTAGTTGGCAGAGAATAAGTTCTTCTTTATTTCTCTTCGAGAAAAAATGCGCAGGATTCAGACCAATGGGGATTAAAACACACTTGAATTTATTTGAAACATAATAGGTAAATCTATAGTGACAGAAAGAAGAATAGTAATTGCATAGGGCCCCGGGGTGGGGGTGGGGACTGAGGCAATAGAGGAGTGATAGCTTCAGGGTAGGGTTTCTCATTGAGGTGACATAAATGCCCTAAAATTGGCTGTGGTAATGGTTGCATAATGGGGGAGCCATAGCCAGAGTTTCATTGGGGGTTCTTCTTGCCGAGGAGGGTGTAAGCCACTGAAAACTAAAGTCTAAAATATAATTAGTGAAGAACAAAAGACTAAGAGTCAGAAATATATTTACAAAAGCGGAGCCCCTAATGCATCCAGTCCACACAAGAGCTGGAACTAGACAAAGGAAAGATGGCTCCGGTGGTTTATTTAAGGGGGTACATCAAAGGCAGGGATAAGGTTTCCAGGGCAGGAATGGCTGCCAGTCACCAAGTTCTCAGCTAGCTTCATGATGTCTTGCAGTCCAGCAGGTTGGCATCTTGGCAGGTCACACCCATCTCAGGTGCTATTTGGGACATGGCAGAGTGAGATAGAAATTCACAATTGTCCCTGGGCAATTGACCAGAGAAAATGTCCATTGGTCATTCCCAGACATCAGATGTTTCTGTCCACTAGGCTTCAATTCGTGGTGACCCACAAGCAATCCATGGATGGCTCATGACAGTTGCACATATCTGTGAACACATCTCAAAACTGCTGCATTGCCCACTTTAAGTGGGAAAACTGTATAATACATGAATTATATTTCATAACGCCATTAAACATACACACAGCCAAGATGTGTGGCCATAGTAGCATTTCTAATATGACCCTCTCACCTAAACTTAATCTTCCAGCACTTCAGACTTCCCCCTTTAACCTTTGTATACCATGGGAACAGGCCCCTCTCCCAGAGAGACAGACCAAGGGCTGAGCCACACTTAGCCTTGTGCCCCATCCCTTCTCCCAGGCCCACTGTGCCAGAAAGCTCCTTGTCCCGAGGGGGAGTCAGGAGGTAGGAACAGAGCCTTCTCAGAAGGCCTCTTAGAGGACTTGAGGCATTAGAAGTGCAGCCTTCAGGGCCATGCACAAGCCAAGTTCATGTTTTCCCAATGTGGTCAATGATTTTCATTGCTTGGTAGAATTATAGGTGATTTTTTTTCTTTCTCTACTGTTTTCCAATTTTTCTATAATATATACACATGTATATGTGTATATATTATAGAAAATACATATATGGACAAATATATCGTGTACATATATGTATATATTTTTCTTTTTTTAGGATTGTCAACCTAAATTGAAAAACAGGGGCTAGAGGGGCTGGGGTTGTGGCTCAATGGTAGAGTGCTTACCTCACAGGTGTGAGGCACTGGGTTCAGTTCTCAGCACCGCATATAAATAAATGAATAAAATAAAGGTCCGTCAACACTAAAAAATATTTTTTAAAAAATCAGGGGCTAGAGATACAGCTCCATGGTAGAGCATGTGTTTAGCATGCATGAAACCCTGGGTTCAATTCCCAGCACAAACAAACCAACAAACAAAAAACCACTGGTGTATTCAAAGAAGTTGAGGCAAGGGTAAATTTTAAAGACAAAACCAAGGAGAATCATATCTATTATTTTGAAACAATAATCCTTGGCCACAATGATTAATAACAAGACTGGTGTCTATCCGAGGTTGTACAGAGAGCTGCTGGGCAGATGTCCTTGTAGAAGTACTTTTTGTATGCAATTGTGGTGGCCTCTGGACAAGATTGTGGCTTTTGTATACCTACTATCAGGCTATCATGCATAAGAATCCTTTCTTCATAATCTCTTAGTTTTATTTATTTATTTATTTTTGGCATGGTTGACACAAGTAATTTTGATTCTGGCAACTTTCACATTTCTTTCACAGGACATATATACATAAAACCAGGGATTGGGTGGAAAGAGAACTGGGGGCTGTGGGGGCTGTGGGAGAAGCCTGCTGAGAATTGCAGTCTCCCAGTCTCTTGCTGATGGCTGCTCCTTCGTCTTGCAGGAGTCATGTGGCTGGAAATTCTCCTTGCCTCAGTGCTGGGCTTCGTCATCTACTGGTTCATCTCCCGGGACAGGGAGGAAATTTTGCCATTTGAAGATGGGTGGTGGGGGCCAGGGGTGAAGACCATAACCAGGGAGGATGAGAGCATCCGCCCTTTCAAGGTGGAAACTTCAGACGAGGAGATCAATGTAAGTAAGGCACCTTTTCCTTGTCAGGCTGGGCAAAGGGGAGGGTGGGGGCGCTGCTGTGGTTTCTCTGTGATGAGTTGGGCTTAGACAAGGGTTGGGGGAGTAGTCCTCCTTGGAAGTTTTTTCTTTCTAGCTTCTGTCACAGGGCAGGTGCAGGTTGCTCACAAAAGGCATGCCCAGCTCCCCCCTCTGCCCCTTCCCTCCTGCTCCTTTCCCCTCCCCGAGGCCCCACAGTGCCCAGGCAGGAAGCTGCCAGCTGGACCAGTTATGTGCATCAAAGGTCACAAAAAGCAGATGTTTTCCCTTCTTCTGGGTCCCAGGTGGAGACATGAAACGCTGTAGCACTCAGAAGGCAGTGCCAGTGTTGGTTAGTATGTGTGTCAGCCATCCAACGTCACCTTCAGTCCCTGCTCACAGTTGTAGAAACTGAAGCTCAGACAGGTAAAGCAATTTGTCCCAGGTGATCAAGCCAACAAGCAGAAGGATTTGAACTTGGGTCTAACTCCAAAATCACTGCCCCGTCCCACGAGAGCTAGAATCAGGAAGGAAGTGATCAGTGGAGTGGAATCACCTGAGGGTGCAGTGAGCTGTGAGCAGGGCCAAGAGGATGGGTCTGCCCATCCCCTGCTCATTCTTTCCTTCATTCTGTGGCACTTGAGCACCTACTGTGTGCAGGTGCTCTGCTGAGTGCTTGAAAGAAACCAGAGACTCTTTCTTCAAATAGCTTACCCCAGTAGGTGAGAAAAGGAACATTCACAGAGATATATTAACTAAAACATTAGTAAGGATGATTGTGCTGATAAAAGGTCATTGAGAATTTCAAGAAGGAAGGAATTTAAAAATGGAAACTAGACTAAACCCAAGAGAAACCAACTGGGGCTTCCTTGATAGAACTTGCTATGGTCTTGCTAGTGAGGGCAGAAGCTGAGCTCTGAAGATAATAATAACTTCTTTTGTGGATTCTATATACTAAAGGAGTCTTGAGGTTTTAAAAATCTGTGTGAGGGTAGCCAAAGCACTTGGGAAGAAGCCCTGGGAACAGTGACACTTGAGATGATCCATGAACTATCATGAACATCCCCCAGCAGGGCTGCTGGCCTTTTAGCCTAATACATGTCTAAAGGACTTGCTTCTATCTCCTTGGCAGTAATTTTTTTTTATCTCAATTGAGTTACAGCATTCAATGCTGCACGTCAAAACTTGGCAAGCCAGAGTCCATGGGTCAAATGTAGTCTGCCACCTCTTTTTGCACTGCCCCCATGCCAGGAATTGTTTATGCAACTTTAAATGGCTGGGAGGAGACAATCAAAAGAATGATATTTAGTGACATGAAAATTATATGGATGGGCTGAGTTTGTGGCTCAATGGTAGAGCCCTTGCCTAGCATGTGTGAGGCACTGGGTTCAATCCTCAGCACCACATAAAAATAAATTAATAAAATAAAGGTATTGTGTCCACCTACAATTAAAAATATTTTTTAAAAATTATATGGATTCAAATTTCAATGCCCATAAATACAGTTTTATTAGAATAGAGCCATACCTTTTAATCCATATATCACCTGTAGCTGTTTTCTCACTACAGAGACAAAATGGAATAGTTGCATCTTGCAAAGTCAAAAACATTCACTCTCTGGGCCTAGGGCTATAGCTCAGTTGGTAGAGAATTTGCCTCATATGCACAAGGTCCTGAGTTCAATCTCCAGCCCCACATAAAAAAAAAATGCTATCTGTTGTTTTTTTTTTTTACCAATAAAAATGTTGCTAATCCCTGATATATAGAAGTAGAAGTGTTGGTAAATTTAAGATGAATATTATTCATATATTTCAAACATAGAAAATACGAGCTGGGGATATAGCTCAGTGGTAGAGCACTTGCCTAGCATGTGTGAGACCCTGGGTGCTCTCCCTAGCACTGCCAAAAAAGTAAGAAGGAAAAAGAAAAGAAAGAAAGATGAAAAGGGAATCTGCAGCCTTCAGTGACAGACACACATGCCTAAAAGTAGGGGGAGCTTTTCTTTGCCACTGCTCTGGTGCAGTGAGGTTGCAGGGTTGGTTTTGTCCTGTAGAAACAAACCTTCTCTTGTGCTTTGTCCTTGGGGCCCTGCATTTCACTCCAGGACTTACATCAGCGGATTGATAAATTCCGCTTAACTCCACCTTTGGAGGACAGCCGCTTCCACTATGGTTTCAACTCCAACTACCTGAAGAAAATCCTGTCCTACTGGAGGAATGAATTCGACTGGAGGAAGCAGGTGGAGTTCCTCAACAAGTACCCTCACTTCAAGACTAAGATTGAAGGTATGTTTCCAGAACACCAGCTCAAAGGGATGTATGTCACAAGGAGCAGCCATCTTTCATGAGTTGATTCAAAGTCAAATAAAGCTGGGGGGACCTTGAATCCAATTATAAGTCACTGTGACCTTACCAGAGTGCAAAAAATATCGCCAGTTCTCAATGAACTGTTGATCTTCAGAGGTAAACAGGAAAAACATATAAATAACATAAAAACCAAAGAAATGCAGAATCCAGCTGGGCATGGTGGTACACATCTGTAATCTCAGCAGCTCAGGAATCTGAGGCAAGAGGATCAAGAGTTCAAAGCCAGCCTCAGCAATTTAGCAAGGCCCTAAGCAACTCAGTGTGACCTTGTCTCTAAATAAAATATTTAAAAAGGGCTGGGGATGTGGCTCAGTGGTTAAGTACCATTGGGAAGAGAGAGAGAGAGAGAGATTCAAAGTCCAGTCTGACTATGTAGCAATCCCTGAGAAGGAGGGAGAGGATGACTGGGACCTGGGTATGGCCTCAGTCAGCTCAGCCCCTTCTTAAAGTTTGGTACCCCCTGATATTACAACTGTTCAAAGATGCTCAGATGGTCAGTTCTTTGAAAAATTTTCCTGTCTGTTTGCAACGCTAGACCTCATGTCCCAATTATGTCACAGATTGTCATAAAAATTCTCCAGAAAGAAAAGATCACTTCCAAATTTTTCTTGGGAATGTGACCCCTGGATCATGTGGGATGAGTAATAGTTTCCTAATGGAAAAGAATTTTTTAACTGAACAAAGTCTTAAAATCAAATATAGAAACATTTAAGAAATTAGAGACATTTTGTTAACTTAAAACATTTTTAAACTTTTAATTGTGGTAAGATATGCATAACATGAAATTTATCATTGTCACCATTTTTTTGGGGGGGTGGGTACCAGGGATTGAACTTAGGGGCACTCAATCACTAAGCCACATCACCGGCCTCATCTTTGTATTTTATTTAGAGACAGGGTCTCACTGAGTTGCTTAGCGCCTCACCATTGCTGAGGCTGGCTTTGAACTCTCAATCCTCCTGCCTCAGCCTCCTGGCATAACTAAAGTTTTTGAAAAGAACATTGAAGCTAGGCATGATGGCACATGCCTGTAATCCCCCTTAATCACAAGGCTAAGGGCAGGAACATCACAAATTTGAGGCCAGACTGAGCAACGTAGTGAGACCTTGTCTCAAATTAAATAAAAAAGGTTGGTGATGTAGTTCAGTGATAGAGCACTCGCCTAGCATATGTAAGGCCTGGGGTTTAATCCCAAGTACCTGCCTCTCCCACCAAAAAAATTTGAAATTACACAATATTTAAAGGAGGAGCATCATTAAACAAGTTTAGAAATATAATGAACTATTAATCAAAGTTCTCTGGAAAGTAACTAACTTCACATTTGCTCATAAATATGTGGCACAAAATTCATAAGCATAACTCAAATTCTTACTGAAAAAATAGTTTTATAAACTTGTAAGTTTAATAAATTGAAGAATAATTTTAAAAAATCAAAATAATCTCTGAATATTCTCCTCTATACCCCTCAAAACCGTTGGAAACTCACAATGTAGGTGGCAGAGCGCACCCTGGTGGTGGGAATGCTGCCCCCAGAGCCAGAGAACTCAAGCTAGGGCTGGTGTCTGAGCCTCTCTGAGCCTCAAAGGCTTTGTTATATGATGGGGAAATGATGGTTCCCACTTCACAGATGTAAAGATGACAGGATGGGATGGGTGGAAACCCTGGCCCAGAGATGCCTGCTGTTGTCCTCTGATATGAGGAGACTGGGTCTGAGGAAGAACAGGAAAGGGAAGAGCTAAGTAGAATCCTAGTGGATCCTGGACCTGGAACCCTTCCTGGAGCTAAGCCAGCAGCACATAACAAAATTCTAGAATGATTTTTGCCTTCTTTCTGATTTCTATTTTGAGATGGGGTCTCGCTATGTTGCCCACAGTGGGCTCAAACAATTCTGCTGCCTCAACCTCCTGAGTAGCTGGGACTATAGGCACATGCCTAGCTTTATTATTATTATTATTTTAATTTTTTCAGTTGCCAATAGATTTTTCACTTTATTTGTTTATTCATATGTGGTGCTGAGGATTGAACCCAGGGCCTCACACTTGCTAGGCAAGTGCTCTATCACTTAGCCACAACCCCAGTCCTGGAATTATTATTATTACTATTTTTTGGTCAAATTTGGACTCCTCATTGAGTGCTGCTGTGCCCTTTGGAGGATTCTGGTGTCTGCTGACATGAGCCTAGCAAGAGGGCCAAGGCCAATCATACACAGGTTGTCATATACAATTTCCAAGAATCATCATTTAAAACTTTGGTGCCAAATCCTGGCCTTCTGCCTCCTGGAGTTTGACTTGGATCCCTCAGTTACCCTCAGCTCTTCAATTCCCCTCTAGCAGATACTGACAGGAAACTTCCAGATCCCACTCTGCTGGGGCTGGGGACACACAGACACTGAGGACAGGGTCCCTGTCTTTGTGGCTCATGGGCTCCTCAGGGGTAATTACAGCACATGACGAGGGACGCCAGGAGAGAGGAGGCTTCAGGACCTTTGAGAGCCCACACTTCCTTCACGTGTGAGGAAGACTTCCCAGAGAGAGGGCTCCCTCCGCCAAGATGAATAGAAGCTTGCCTTGTATGTGGGGAAGGTGGTCCAAGGAGAAGGGAAGAGCAAAGACTTACAGGCAGGAGGCTGTTTCCCTTCTAGGTTTTTTTTTGTTTGTGTGTTTGCTCCTGGAGATTGAACCAAGGGACTCTTTACCACTGAGCTACGTTCCCAGTCCTTTTTACTTTTTATTTTGAGACAGCGTCTTGCTAACTTGCTGAGGTCTACGTTGCTGAGTCTGGCCTAGAACTCTTGATCCTCTGCCTCAGCTCCACTGAGCCCCAGTGGCTGGAATTACAAGCAACACCATCACTGTGGCCTCTGTTTCCTTTCTGGAGGCTGCAGGCTTACCCCACCAGACCATCTCAGGGTTTCCCAGGACACCAAGGATATACAGGACAAAACCTCTCTCAGAGCACAAGGCTCTGAAGAGGGCAATTCCTGGCATTGAGTTCATCATGGACAGTGGCCCACTGTGACTAACCCCTGTGCAGTTCTGGCACACTTCCTAGGGCTGGCAGCCTATTTTTGGCCTGGTCCTTGCAGGATGGAGTCCTTCCCCTGGGACTGAGTTTTTCTTACCCCACCTCCATAGCACCAGCTGATGGCTTTGGTCCTCAGGCCCAGCAAACCTTCAGCTCATCTCTTTCCCTGGGCTTCCCAGGTTGGGGCTGGTTCAGGAAGGTCCTTTGTCAATCTCTGTTTGCTGCATTCTTCTCCATGATGCTGGACCTTTTCAGGGTCCTCTCTGACCCTTGTGCTCCTGGTAGTTCATAGCTTCACCTGTGACCCCTACTCCAGTGTTCTGTTCACATTCCCACTAGCTGCGCTGTTCCTGCCACTTACCTTCTAATTCTGTGATGAACTTTCAGATCCAACCCATGTGTGGGGCCTCCTGTGGTGGGAGAACATTGTCTATTCTGAGATAACCTGAGGGTTTGCTGGGCATCAGTTGCTCCTGGGGAAACTCAACTCCAAAGTGTCCAGAGAGGAGGAAAGAATTGTCCAAGACAAAAATGAAGGGCCACAATCCAGCTCTGTAGACTTCTAGCCTGTCCCTTTTCCTTTACCCTACCCACTATCCAGTGGGCTGGAACCCTCTGGCTACAGTGCCCTCCACCCAAGCCCTCCCCTCCTGAGCACAGCTCAGCTCAGCTCCTGGATTCTGACCCGGCAACCCTATCATAGAGCATCCCATGGGTATCAGAGACCTGCAGGAAACCCAGAGAGAGCATTTCCTTCCACAAAAGGAAAGAGGGGCCCACGGGGTGAATGATGAGACAGAGTTTTTTTAAAATGTCTTGGGGCAGGATGGGGTGGCACATTCCTATAATTGCAGCTACTTGGAGGCTGAAGCAGGAGGATCACAAATTTAAGACTGCCTTCACAACTTAGCAAGATTCTGTCAGAAAGTTTTAAAAAGGAGGAAGGGACCAGGGATGTAATTCAGTGGCAGAGTACGTCCTCGTACATGGGAGGTCCTGGATTTAACCAATAGTACTGCAAAAAAAATTAAATAAATTTAAAATGTCATGGAACTGGGGGTATAGCTCAGTAGTAGAGCATTTGCCTAGTGTGCAGGTATAACTCTGGGTTCCATTCCCAGCACCAAAAAAAAAAAAATCAGCATCATGAAAATGTCTTAATTTTTACTATGCAAAAAAAATTTTATATTTAGAAGTACAGAAGGGAATACAGAGAAAAGGAAGTCTCTTTTTCCTTCCTGCCCCCAGCCTGAGACAGCTCCTGCTTTCTGCTTTCCTTATGTACACTTCCAGGGAGAACCCATGTGTACGCAAGCATGTGTGTGGGGTTTTTTTTGTTTTGTTTTGCCTATTTTTAAACTCAAATGATAATGTGGTAGAATTTGAATTAAAAATAATCTCACATCATGCAGTGTGTCCCCAAAAGGATAAGATTACCTACTAAAATAAACGTTAGGACAGGAATAAATTTAGTAACACAGAAAGATGCCCAGGATATATTGTTAAGTTAAAAAAAATAAGTTTCCAAAATAGGATGAATGTAGGGTTCTATTTTTGTTAAAAGAAAGTTATGTTCACTAAGTATTTTTTTAATATTTTATTTTTTAGTTGTAGTTGGACACAACACCTTTATTTATTTATTTTTATGTGGTGCAGAGGATCAAACCCAGGGTCTCACACGTGCTGGGTGAGTACTCTACCACTGAGCCACAACCCCAGCCCCCACTAAGTATCTTTTAAAAGTTCAAACTGTCACAACCAAAAGGGGCCTAAGGAGATTTGACAGTTAAATGTAATGTGGGATCCCAGGTGGGATCCTGGGATGGAAAGGGGACACTAGGTTAAAACTAAGGAAACCTGAGTAATATTCCATTGACTATATATACAAATATTATCCAGCCTTAACAAAGAAGGAAATCCTGCAAAATATGACTACACAGAAGAACCTCAAGGATATTATGCCAGGTTAAATAAGCCAGTCACAGAAGGACAAATACGTCAAGACCCCGCTATGTGAGGTGCCTAAAACAGGCAGCACAGAAGAGGAGAGGAGGGGGCAGGTGGTGGCCAGGGGTGGGGAGTAGAGGAAATGAGGAATTGCTAATCAGTGTGGATAAAATTTCAGTTATGCCAGATGAATAAGTTCCAGAGATCTGCTCTAACAATATAGTACCTATAATGAACAGTATTGTAGGGGTGGCAGGGGGTGGGGGGTGGGGCTTAGCGGTAGCACTGGCCTAGCATGCCAGGCCCTGGGTTTCATTCCCAGTATTGCAAAAAGAAAAGAAAAAAAAAAAAAAGATCACAAAAAAATCCCCAATACTATGTTATATACTTCAAAATCTGTTATGACAGTAATCTCATATTGTGTTCTTACCACAGTAAAATTTTGTGGGTTAGGGGGAGCACTTGCCTAGCATGTATAGTGTGTAGAGCTCTGGGTTCCATTCCCATCATTAAATCAAAAAAAAAATTAACAAAGAAAATCTGAATTGGGATGTTCAGATGCCTACTGTAATTCCTGCTACTTGAAAGACTGAGGCTGGAAGATCACAAGTTGGAGGCCAGTCCTGGCAACTTAGGGAGACCCTGTCTCAAAAAAATAATAATAAAATAAAAAGGGCTGGGAATGTAGTAAGAATGCCCTTGGGTCTGATCCCCAGCACTGCAAACAAACAAACAAACTAAACTAAAATGCTAAGGAGATCTGAATAAGTATGGACTTCAATTAATAATGTATTATTGACTATAAGGCATGTTAAATAAATTACCATATTAATGTAATATGTCAAGAATAGGGAAGACTGAATCCCACAGCTTGGGAGACTGAGGCAGGAGGATCACAAGTTTGAGGTCAGCCTCAGCAACTTAGTGAGGCCCTAAGCAACTTAGCAAGACTCAGTCTCAAAATAAAAAACAAAAATCGAAAAAAGCTGGGGAATGTGGCTCAGTGGTAAAGCACCCCTGGTTCAACACCCAGTACCAAAAAAAAAAGGGGGGGGGTAATCTGGGTATGGGGGCATTCTATGTTCTGCATTTTTTCAATAATTCTAAAACTATCCCAAAATAAAAAGTTTAAGAAAAATCTGGATGACAACACAATATTCTCTTCTGATACTGGGATTACATGTGATTTTCCCCCATTTGGTTTATCTGTGTTTTCTAAGTTTTCTGTAGTGGCCATGTATTGTTTGTATCATGAATTAACAGATCAGGTCATTAGCTAGACCGTGCTGTTGTCTCCACCCTCAAGGTGTAGCGAGCGTCCCTGGCACGGCAGCCACTTTGCAGTGCTATGAATGCTCAGGTGCATAGGGCCACACTCCAGGAAAAGGGCTGCTCTCCTTGGAGACATAAAGACTCAAGGTGACTCTGGGGGGATTGTAATGTACTCACCTATTCTTAGCTAGGACCACCTTCCAAGTTCACAGCATTCTACTTAAAAAGAAATTCTCCACTTAAATAAAAAGTCATGGGCTGTGTGTGTGTGTGTTAGTGGTAGGGCGATTGCCTAGCATGCTCAAGGCCCTGGGTTCTGTCCCCAGAAAAAAATATAAATAAATTGTACCACAGAAAAAATAACGATAACAATTTTTTCTTTATTATGCCAGGGGAATAAAAAACTACTGAGCCACAAAAAAAAATCCCTTTTTTTATATTTTATTTAGAGACAGGGTCTCACTGAGTTGCTTAGGGCTTTGCTTAATTGCTGAGGCTGGCTTTGAACTCACGATCCTCCTGCCACAGCTTCCCAAGCCACTGGGATTACAGGTGTATACCACCACACCTAGAAACAATAACAATTTTTTAAAATTAAAAAATTATGTTTTATAATTGGCAAAAATAATAATAAATGTTTATGTCAATGCATATGGTAATTATGCATTGGTAATATGTACTAATTATGCACATAGTATGTGTTCATTGTAGAAGAATTAGAAATACATATAACACAATGAAGAAAATCAAAGCCTTGGTTCTACTGCTCAGGAAGAATGACTTTGTACATTTTTGGAGTTTATTCTCAGACCCTTAAATCCCTACATTCATAGTACAGACTGTCCCTGACTTATGATGGTTCCACTTAAGATTTTTAACTTTTACAATGGTGTGAAAGCAATATACATTCAGTAGAAACCATATTTTGAATTTGGATCTTTTCCCGGGCTAGTGATATGCTATACAGGCATAGTTCCCCGCCTGTCCCACAATCATGAGAGGAAGCCACTGATTCTCTACTGTGGACTGTGTTACTAAGCTAGGAGTTTAGTAGGTCATGCATATTCAATGAATTTTATTTAGTATTTATGTATTCATTGTGGTGTAGGGGATAGAACATAAATGGGCCTTGCATGTGCTAGACAATTGCTCTACTGAGCCACATCCCCAATTCTTAAGTGCATTTTAGACTAAGAAAAATTTCAGCTTAAGCTAAGTGGTACATGCCTATAATCCCAGCTACTCAGTAGAAGGCTGAGGCAGGAGAATCTCAACTTCAAGGTAGCCTGAACAACTTAGCAGGGGCCTGTCTCAAATAAAAAAATAAAAAGAGTTCAATTCCTAGTACCATTATCAACACACACACACACACACACACACACACCAAGAAATTTTCAACTCAAGTTGAGGAACATCTTCATGAGTATACATGCATACATATAACTGTTTGGAAAAATTGGATCATGTAATGACTATGACTTGATAATTCATTTTTACCAACTAGCAATGAACTGTTTTTTATGTTAAATAAATACAAATCTTCTCCCTCTCCCCTGATTTTTAAATAAGTGAACAAATATTTATGGAGTCCCACCATAAGCTGGGAAGTGTTCTGGGGCCTGGGAACCCAGCGGTACACACAGACCCGCTCTACCCTCCCAAGCAAGCAGGCTGTGAAGTCTAAGCAAGGACATCTGCGTCGCTGGGCCATGGTGTGAAACAGTGCGTGAACAGTACGTGATGTGGGGGCACAAAGGTGGCAGCACACACTGCCTGCGCCCTGGAGGGTGCAGAGCCTGCCTGGGTACTCTCGGGACTTCAGCCTCCCCATCTTCTCCCCTCCCTCATAATTGTGCCTCGTCCTCCAGGGCTGGACATCCACTTCATCCACGTGAAGCCCCCCCAGCTGCCTTCAGGTCGTACTCCAAAGACCTTGCTGATGGTGCACGGCTGGCCTGGCTCCTTCTACGAGTTTTATAAGATCATCCCACTCCTGACTGACCCCAAGAGCCATGGCCTGAGTGATGAGCATATTTTTGAAGTCATCTGCCCTTCTATTCCTGGCTACGGCTTCTCGGAGGCATCCTACAAGAAGGGTACGGGGTGGGAGGGGTTGCTGCTGGGGGCCATGGAATGCTCGCCTTCCAGGAGGATGAGGTGGGCCGGAGACCAGAGAGGCTGGGAAAAGAGGAGTCCAAGAGGCATTTTCTTACACTAAAGGGCCAGCAGGTCTTAGGATCTGAATCTGAGAACGTGGTGGGCCATAGGCTGGGTAGAACAGTGGTCAGCACTGTTCAGTGTTGCTCAGGGCTTGGACTCTTGGGTTCTATGAGCTCTCCTCAGGAGCGGGTCCACATCTAGGCCCTAGATTGTTCCAGTCCAGAAGACTGACCAAGCCTCTGCAGGGTGGACCCAGAGACATCTCACAGGGGCTGTCCCAAGCCCCTTGTGCCCATACTGCCCCTGCACAGAACTAGAGGACTCCTCCTTGCCCCCTGTGAGTGACTCTCACCTCAACCTGGGGGGAGGTGAGCCTGAGGAACTTCACAAACCCAAGGAGTGACCTCCCTGAGACTATTCTTTTTCCCCTTCACAACCAGGCTTCAACACGGTGGCCTGTGCAAGGATCTTTTATAAGCTGATGCTGCGGCTGGGCTTCCAGAAATTCTATATTCAAGGTGGGGACTGGGGGTCCCTGATCTGCACCAACATGGCTCAGCTGGTGCCCAGGTGAGCTCTCATTCAGGTGCGTGAGCGTGTGCACAGCCTCTAAAAGGATCTTTGTTCAGGGCAGGCATCTGGACTGGAGGGTGGTTCATACCAGTTCCTGCCTGGGCATAGTGTCTGAGCCTTGGGGTTCCCTCTTGCCAGGGGCCACCCAGGCAGGGATGCTTGTTGGCCCACGGGAGAGAAGACAGGTTCTGTAATCATTCTGCAGGGCATATGGGCATGTTGACCTGGACCCTCCCATTTGGTTTAACACAAAGTTGGTGACTCTGGGCCAGGTATCCAGGCAGAGACTGACAGTGAGAGGAGGTAAAAGTGGGGGATTAGACCTTTCTTGGGGACCACGCTCTGGAGGAGCCCTGAACAGAACTCTCTAGGAACTATTTTCTTCCCCAACCCCTCTGCTCCAACTCATGTGGACACCCCAGAGGGGCAGGTGCTGAAGGAGCCTGGCACGTCAGCCCTGTAGCTGTCTCCTCCTCCTCCATCTCTTCTCTCTCTGTCTTTCTTATACTAGCCCAGCCTCACCTGAGCCCATTTCTCTGCCCTCAGACACGTAAAAGGCCTGCACTTGAACTTGGCTTTTGTTACAAGAAATCTCTGCAACCTGACCCTTTTGTTGGGAAAGCGTTTCGCAGGATTTTTGGGCTTCACTGAGAGAGATGTGGAGTTGCTGTTTCCTTGGAAGGACAAGGTTTTCTATAACATCATGAGGGAGAGCGGCTACCTACACATCCAGGCCACCAAGCCAGACACCGTGGGTGAGCACACCGGGTGGGGGGACCTCACTACCCCCAGGATGAAAACCCCTTATAAGGAACTAAGAGCTAGTTTTGTTATTGTTGTTTGGGGGATGGGTTGGGTGTTTTGTTTGTTTGCAGGGCCTCAGGCATGCTAGGCAAACAGTCTGGCACCGAGTCATGACCTCAGCCCTTCTCAGAACTCTTTAGACCTTTAACCTGGATTTCCCCATAGAACTGAAAAGTTTATGTATCATCATCAGATTCCCAAGATAATCCAAACTCTGTGTGGTTCACTCAATGTTGGTTAGTAGCTTTAAAGCCCCCCACCCCCTGCCCCTGAGGCTAAGTCCTGTCATAAGAAGCAGAGGGGCCTTGGCAGCTCTAGAGCTATTGGAAAAGGGTATAGGGGGCCCACACTCTGGGGGAAAATTCACCCTAATAGTGAGGGGTGGACCCAGCAACCATTTCTGCCATTAGGGCCCTGTTACGGGATACTTTTCTGAAAAGCAAAAAAATTATGATTCTCATGCAAATATAAAATGAACATGTGTCCGAAATTGTATTTAACTCAGTTTCTAAAGGAACTAGTAAAATGTTAAAACAACAATAGGGGCTGGGGAGATAGCTCAGTCGGTAGAGCGCTTGCCTCTCACACATAAGGCCCTGGGTTCGGAGTGATAATTAAATGTCCACTGGACAAAATTTACTTGCTTTTCTATGAACAAAAACGATTTGCATCATTCTCACTGTTCCGCAATGGCAGGGCTTGCCTAGCACATGTGAGGTACTAGGTTCGATCCTTAGCACCACCTTAAAAACAAATAAATAAAGGCATGTTGTCCATCTACAATTACAAAAATCTTTTTTTAATTTTGAAAATCACAAAAAAACATAAGACAGAAGACAATCAATCACCTGTAAGCACTCTTCCTCCCTCCCCCTTTCCTTCAGAAGAGCTTTGCTAACATTTCAGTTGATGAATGTTCACAAGCCACTACACTCATATGCCTCACATGACCAGACACCAGTGGTGATCTCTTGCAGGCACTGTCCCCACCAAGGATGGCCTCCCTCCTGACTTTCAATCACATTCTTGATAGTTTGGCTTTGCCTGTTCTCACTCTTCCTAAGAATGGAACCATAGAACATGTCTCATGGGAGTCTGGCTTCTTTTGTTCAATATGGTGTTTGTGAGGTTATTTATGGTATTATCCCAGACATTTTTTTGGTGCTGAAGAGCAAACCCAGGGCCTTGCACATGCCAAGAACATACTCTACCAGTGTGAGTTCCACTCCTGGTGCCCTCAGCTTTTTTTAACATTTTTTTGGGGGCTGAGGGGGAGTACTGAGAATTGAACCCAGGGGCACTCAACTGCTGAGCCACATCCCCAGCCCTTTTTTGTATTTTATTTAGAGACAGGGTCTCAATGAGTTGCTTAGGGCCTTGCTAAGTTGCTGAGACTGGCTTTGAACTCACAATCCTGCCTCAGCCTCCCGAGCCACTGGGATTACAGTTGTGTGCCACCGTGCCCAGACCCTCAGTTATTTTTAATTACCGCACAGGATTTTAGCTAATGGGTGTATTGATATTTATTTGTAACTGATTATCCTATTTTGGATTAAAATTTTAGGTTGTTTCTTGTTTTTCAATATCAGGGCATATGGATCCTCAAAAAACAGAAAACAAAACCCCCCAAATTTATCTCTTTAAAAACAGTGTCCTGGGCTAGGGAGTAGTATTCATCTAGCAGGCACAAGACCCTATAGCTTGATCCCCAGCACTACAAGATAGTTCTCACTTGGGTATCACCAAACCCACATATAGACCCTTAAGTTTGAAGAAAGGTACACATATTCCAAACAAATCCACGTGAGATCATGGGAAGTAGGACCCCAATCTATCCCATGAAGCTGCCCAGGGTTAAGGATGTGGCATGCATAGCACTCTGTTGGGCCAGCACCATAGCTCAGTCATAATAGCCAGTGCCCTGGTGCCCAGGTACCCAGGCCTGAGTCCCTCCCTTACTCCTTCCCATCCAGGCTGTGCTCTGAATGACTCTCCGGTGGGACTGGCTGCCTACATTCTAGAGAAGTTTTCTACCTGGACCAATTCGGAATTCCGAGACCTGGAAGATGGAGGCCTGGAGAGGTGAGGTCCCCTCTATCCCCCTGACAGGGCCCTGGTCCCAGCAGCCACCTTCCTCACTCCACTCACCCTATTGGTCCTCATTTCCGGTTTTTCCATGTGGGGTTCCAGCAAGTTCCAGCTCTCTTTGGCTTCCCCACAAATCCTAACCCTGTGACCAATGTGTCCCCATTTGGGGGATAAGGAAGCATCTTGCTGCTGGCTCCAAGCCTCACAGTGGGGTGGTGAGGAACAGGATGCAGGACATACAGCCTCCTCCTGGGATGAGGAAATTGAGGGCACTGAACACTTCTTCATTGTCAAGAATAGCCCTGGGAGCCTGGCACCAGGCACTGTGTGCTGTGTGGAAGCTGATCAGGTTGGGGGCTGCAGGAGGACTAGGGGTGGGGGCAGCGTCCTGTCTCCTGGAGCCTTAGAGGCTACAGCCTTAGAGTGCGTGACTCCTCACTCCTGGCCTGACTACAACTTCAGGGTCAGCTCTGACTCACTCTCCAGGGCCCACCTTTTCTTTATTCCTTCAGTGACATACATAGCACCAGACCCAGAACTGAGGGTGGGGAATACAGAGTGAAATGAGACTGGATCTGCCTTGAGGGGCAGGGGCTCTATCTCTGCCATGCTTAGTCCTAGCACCTACAAGAATGCTGAGCTATAGTAGGTGCTCAATAAATAGGTGTTAGATGAATGAGCTCTAAAGATAATATGCAAAGGACTGTGGGAAATCAGAAAAATGAGGGTTCACTTTGTCTAAGGGGGACAGAGAGGAAGTGACTTCTAAAATATATTTGATCTGGGACTTGAAGAATGAATAGGAGTTCACTGGATGGAAGAATGAAATTCAGGTAATGAGAAAAACAATAAAATGCAAGGTACACTTGGAAAGGGTGACTTGTCCACAGGCAAGTCATTAGACAGACCTGGAGCTCATTCCTCTAAGCAGGTCCTCCAGGAGCCTCAGCAAACCCTCCCCCTGAGATCTCTTTTTCCCACCTTACACTCTGCAGGACCCAGGGGTGGATGGAGTTTCATCAGGACCACTGTGGCAGGAGGCCTGGCCTGTAGCAGGTGTGGGGCCCCACCAGACCTGGGCAGCTCCTGCAGCATCTGCCCTGGCAACAGAAACACCAAAGCTCTGAGCAGGGGACTGACAGGATGAGATCTGTGTTCTAGAAAAAACACTAACACAGGAAATGGTGGTTGTGGTAGTTTTCAAGCTGTGATCAGAACCAAAGGGAGACAGAAGCACTCAGCTCACTTGGCAAAAGCCAGTTCACAGAGTTTACATGTTTGTTTTAATTATACTGTCATTGACTGGTTTTTATTTTATCATCAAAATTATATTTAAAAAGACATTCATATAGGGGCAGTGGGTGTAGCTCAGTGGTAGAGCTCGCATATGCAAAGCCCTGAATTCAATCCCCGGCACCACAAAGTTGCATATGCTGCTGGGCACGGTGGTGCATGCCTATAATCCCCGCAGCTCCGGAGGCTGAGGCAGGAGGATTGTGAGTTCAAAGCCAGCCTCAGCAATTTAGTGAGGTCCTAAGCAACGCAGTGAAACCCTGTCTCTAAATAAAATATAAAAAAGGGCCAGGGATGTGGTTCCGTGGTTAAGTGCCCCTGGATTCAGTTCCTGGTACCAAAAACAAAACAAAACAAAAAAGTGCATATGATTTCAGTGCAGCTAGTGAAGCCTAAATAGCCAGCCCTAAGTTCATTCCCCCAATCCTGCTCCATGCTGTTGCTGCTAGAGATCAGGATTTTAGAGAGGAAGTATTAAGGCCTAAGGAGAACATATTCCTGAATATGAAAATGTCTTAATATGTTCTTTATACCCAAGAAGCCCCTTGTTACACAAATTCTTCATGTTTTCCTGTTTAATATGAAGGCCTTCCTGAATGCCTCTCTTTTGCCCTCAGCCTCTCCTCCTTCCAGCTTCTAGCTTCAATAGTCAGGAGCAGGGCAGAAGTAAATTGAATATTCCTTAAAATAAATATAGTTCAGAAAGTGAAAATATAATTAACTCAGGCTGAGGCAGTAGCTCAGTGATAAATACTTGCCTAGCATGAGTAAGGCCCTGGGGTTCCATCCCCAGTGCCACACACACACACACACACACACACACACACACACACACACACTGGGTGTGGCGGTGCATGCCTGTAATCCTAGCTACTTGGAAGACTGAGACAGAGGACTGAAAGTTCAAGGCCAGGCTGTGCAACTTAAAATTATCTCAAAAAGTATCTCAAAATAAAAAAGAAAATAAAAGGACTTGAGATGTAGCTCAATAATAAGCTGATCTAAATGGATGAGGGAAACAAGTGAACTCAGCCAAGTGTCCCTTTGGAGTGAATTGGCTTCTAATGAATCGACTCATTGCCCTGGAGCTGAGGGCCAGGCAGGAGGCCCAGGAAGTGTTCTGTGATTCAGGGAACAACCACAGGAGCAGGAACGGAGACGGGTGGGAGTGGAGGAATGAGGGCAGCTAGGGCTTGGAGGGAACTGGGACAGGGAAGAGTCCACGAGGACCCAGGCTTCCGGCTCCATGCCAGGCCTGGAGACGCCATTTTCAGGGGAAGGGCTCAGCAGAGATGCCGAGCTCTTTCTTGCTGTGGACTTGGTTGAAAGGCAGTTACCAGAGGGTGTCCAGGTCGAGATGTTCACTTGGTAACTGAACCCGCAGATCTGGAGCGCAGGTGGGGCTGGACCCGAGGAGCTTATTCCGCTGTGTTGGTGGTGGAGTTAGTGGGTAGAGGCAGGGGGATCTCCACAGAGAAAACACAGGCCGCAGGATGCGGGGGAAAGCCTTATTGGCTACCAATGAGCGGGGAAGTAAAGAGGGAGGGAGAGAAAGAGATGGACAGATAGACCTGGGGGACAAAACCTAGTTGACAGGCCCCTACCCACAAGGCCTGAGCAGGAGGGGCAGCTTCAGGGTGCAGGATTGAGGAGGGATGAGAGGAGAAAGGGGACAGGAGCATGGAGGGAGGGCAGGTGGAGAAAGGACCTTGGGGTGACATGAGACCTTAGACAGGAGGAGGCCACTGGCAGTTGGGCCAAGGAAGCAGATGGAGGCATTCAGGAGTCCCCAAAGGCAGTCCCCTGCGACTGCCCTCTGCATTCGGCCTGCTGCCCTTGCCAAGCTAATCTGAGTGAACACCTTCTCCTCATTTTATTCTCCTCTTGAGGCTCAGTGCAGAGGTCACCTCTGAGAAGCCTGCCCTGACTTCTCCCTCCACCTGGGTAAAACTTGTCCCTATTGCCCTCCCCCACTTCTACCACAAACTTACCCCTACCTCTGTCACGGAACAGTATAGTCAATGACTTATGACTCAGTCTCCCTGCCAGGCCATAAGGTCCCTCCTCCAGGAAAGGCACCCAGCCCCATGCATCTTTGGAGCCTTAGCACCTAGCACACAGTTGGTGCTCAATGAGTGAATCCTCACTGCACTCACTTGGGAGTTCCAACATTCTAGATGAATGGGCTGTCTTATTGATGGACCTGGATTTTGTAGAGTGGTTTTACTTCTGATGCTTCCACGTGTTTTCCATTTAGTGGTGATCCTGTTTTTGTCAGAGGAAAAACTGGAGAACCTACAGGATAAACAAGAGTTCACCAGAGTCCCGGGGCTCTCTGGTAATATGGCCGTGTCCAGAACCTGGGTCTCTTGACTCCTGGTTCATCGCCTCTAGTCAGCTGTGTGCTGGATCCTGAGGAAGACTCAGAGGTCTGGCCTCTTCCTGCCTCCAGGGGCTCCAAGTCCAGACAGCACCCAATGAATACAGAAGTCCCTCAGGATTCTGGGAAGTGAGAAATTCATTGCCCTAGAGAACCCTGGATCCTTGGAACTGGGCTTTCTGGAGAGTGGAATTGGCAGAGTCCACTGTGGGAGAGCTGAGACAGGCAGGACAGGGGCAAGGGCTGTGGAATGTGTATCCTGCCTTGGGTCTGGATTTTCCTCCTAGCAGTAAAACAGATAATAATACTACCTACATCACATGAGTGATTGAGCAATCAATGGATTAGACACACACTCTTCCTTGTCATTAGCACTCTGCATCAAGGGTCCTCACAATAGCTGGTGACCCTGGACCAAGCCTGCCTGTGGCAGGGGATAATGTTACCTACCTTGAAATGACATCTGAAGGGGGAAGCCAGGGGGCTTGGCTCATGCCTACAGCTGAATGTAGCAGGGCTTTGCTTTTTATACAACTACATTTGGCACCAAGAGTGGACCTTCATGTTCTGCTTCCCCAGGAAGTTCTCTCTGAATGATCTGCTGACCAACATCATGCTCTACTGGACGACAAAGACCATTGTCTCCTCCCAGCGCTTCTACAAGGAGAACCTGGGTCAGGGCATGAACCAAAAGCATGAGAGGTGAGCCTGGCTGAGCTGGGAGTAGGAGTCTCTGAGGCTGGGAACAGGGAGTTGGCCTGGTTTTTAACTCAAGCAGGGGGAAGTGGGGGGGGGGGGGGGGGCATAAAATAAGTGTAGCTGAGGGAACCCCAGGCCTAGCCCCCAGATGTCCCTCAGGGCCTACCCCCTGGCCCATATGCAGACCCTCAGGTGGCAACAAAGGGAAAGGCAAACAACACGAGGCCTTAGAGGCTGTCCCATGCCCCTGCCTGGGTGGCCTCATAGAAAACACAGGGTCCTTAGTTAGTTGGAATTGAGGGATGTCGTGGGAGGGTGGTTAAAACCTTGGGTCTTTCTTTATGACTCCATGTGGGCTTGCTGAGCCCTCCTCCCGTGCCCTTAGGGGCCAGAGAGTGCACACCACAGGCTCACCCCTCTTGGAATCTGTGTTCTTCTAGGATGAAGGTCTTCGTGCCCACCGGCTTTGCTGCCTTCCCTTGTGAGATCCTGCATACTCCAGAAAAGTGGCTGAAATCCAAGTTCCCCAAACTCATTTCTTATTCCTACATGGCCGCAGGAGGCCACTTCGCTGCCTTTGAGGAGCCAAAGCTGCTCGCCCAGGACATCCGCAAGTTTGTTACACTGGTAGAGCAACAGTGACACCTGTGGGGACTGACCGTGGCCTCAGAAGCAGCCCTGGCTCCCCAGTGTTGTCTTGAAGAAGATGCCCCTTTTCTGAAGATGGAGCTTGCTTTTGTCCCCTGCCCTCTCTGGGAGCCCAGCTTACCCCTCCACTGTCATCCACACCCACTGTACAACATGGCTTTCATAATAAATGATTTTACTTCTAAGAGTGGCTGGAACCAAACAGCATGTCTGGAGCGCCCCTTTTAGAGGAGAGCCCGTGGGTCCACATTTGTACAGAGAAGGGCCCCCCTTGCGGCCCTCTGCTGCCCCTCCTCACTCATAAGGGTAGGAGAAGCTTTGGGGGGCCAAGGTCACTGGCCAGGACTACCCTGTAGGAGGCAGCCCCAAAGGACAGGTGGTGCTACCCTAGCCCCCTCTCAGGATCAATGTCACTCAGCAGAGGCGTGCCTGAGGGGCTCAGTGTAAGATGACATGGAAAGCCCAGGCCTGGCAGGGACCGTGGGCCAGCGCAGGTGGCGCCTACAGAGCGCCACTGGACTAGAGGAAGCCTTTGTGCACCGAAACTGCCCCACTCACAGGGCCCTCGGCAGCGCCCCTGGCCTCTGCTGCATCTTGCCAAGCCCTTGTGCCTCTGGCGCCCTCTGGAGGCAGCAGGGAGGAGGTGTCTGGGCAAAAGTTCAGACGGGTCCCAGCCCCCGGATCCTGAAGGAAGGAAAAAGACAAGGTGCTGCCAGTACTTCCTGCTGGGGTCGCAGCTCAAGGGCAGCAGATAGTCCTGCAGCCAGCCCAGACACCTCCTCCACTCCTCTCTACTTAACCACACTGGCCTCCCTTGGCTCCAAGAAAGACCTGAGCACTGCCCCTACCCATCTTGAGCCTGGAGGGAGCCGCCCTGGAGTGAACCCCACACACTTGCCCTGAGACCGGATCTCACCAACCTAGCCCAACGGGCACTTTATTAGTGACCCTCATTTTCTCTGCCTTTCTCCCCAATCTTGTCTTGAAGAAGATGCCCCTTTTTTGAAGAAGGGGCTCACCTCTGTCCCCTGATCCTCATCATCTCTCCCTTACCGAGTCACAGAATCCCTGGCAACATGATAAAAACCTGCACAGCTGGCAGGAGCCTGCTGCAGCCGGTACTGGTGCTCCTACCCCAGCTCCCCCAGCTCACTTCAGGAGCAGCCTGGAGGGCTGCCTGGCTAGGGCCAGCCGGGTGCTGGACTCCCCTCTAGGTTTCATCTCAGACGTGATCGCTGCAGGCTTTCTGGTCACTAGTCGTCCATGAGCCTGTAGAGGGACAGGCTGTGTTGGGTACTCAGAGAGACAATTTCTCCTTCTCATCCAACATAATCTTTGCTGGGGAACAAAATTCCAGCACATGATCTTGGCTATAAACCACTGGGACTGCTAGAGCTGGAAGCTTGCTCAGGAGGTGGCTGGGAATAGAAATGTGCAGAATCACAGGTGAGCAAATGAGGGTGGAGAGCCACAGCTGTTCCCCACACTTCTGCTGTGAGCAGAAAAAAAGAGGACCCACTTGATGGCTCTTAACCTGGCCGCCCCAACCCTTCCCCCTCAGCTAAGGGCCTGAGTCCCAGACCCTTCTGGTTCTATATTTTCAGAACAATGGGGCTTAAAACAGATGGAAAGAAGTCCTGAACTTGGTAGGGGTTGGAGTCAATCTGCTTTTCCACCTGAGTCTTCTCTGGGGCTCCTGAGCTTGGCCCAGACCAGCAGCTTGCCCACCCTCAGGCCTCCTGGTAGGCAGAGACCACACTGTCCGCAGGGCTCTGGGCTAAGTGCTGTCCAGGGAGAGTCCCGCTGATGTTATGGATGGCGCCATAGGTCTGTTGCTGCTGCGGGGACAGGGCTGTCCTCTCCGAGGCCAAACCATTCAGAATCCGGGGCACATAGGGCTGTCAACAGATAGGGGAATTAGTGTCTAGGTGGTGGCAGGCATGAGATTCCATACCCATTCCCCTAGGGCCCCTCCTTCCAGCTGAAGGGCCCATGCAAAGAAATAACAGCATCACCTTAGGACATCAGGGCACAAAATATGCCAATTGCAGAATTTCCCAGCAGCCAGGGCAAAACAGAAAATACAACCAATGACACAGTTCTCGTGATCATATAGAAGGAAGCACAACAGAAAAGTTTCCTTCATTTCTCAGAAGAAACAACTTCCTAGCAATGGATTCTAGGAGAACTTTCACTTTATAGAGGAAACAAGTCTTTCTACAGAGGCAAGTCTGTAGAAATTATGCATCCTCCCCACTCCAGGCTCCAGCCCACCCCCAATACCGTCCTGCCCCACCCCTCCCCAGACCCAGGCTGAGAATGAAGCATTTACACCCTCCCACTGCCCTGCTTTCCCCTTGGCTGGCTTGCATAGCCACAGGTGTCTCTGGGTAATGAATCTCTCTGAAGACCTTTTCCTCTGGGGCTTGTCCAAGGACAGACACTGATAAGAGTGCCTGACATAGAGGAGGCAGACACTGGAAAGAACACTGCTAATGAGATCAGCCACCACCTTGGCCTCATATATGTCAGGATGACCAGCAGTCACAGCTGTGGCATCCTGTGGCTTTGGGATCTTGCCCCACTCTGAGAGGAGGACACTGGAGACCAGAGGCAGGGTGAACTGGCCCAGTAAGAGTCCTGGTATCTTTTGAGCATTATGCCTCACTCTGAGGCAGGTGCATCATCCATTTGTTGAACTCAAGGGGGGACTACATTGACACCTCTTGGTGCCTAGTGGAGGACCACACAGGTGGGTGAATGACTGGTGGTAAAGCTTCGTCCAACCACAGGGCTCCTGATGGCGTTCACTATGCCCCAGACTCATCAGACATTAGATATGCAGAGAGGAAAAGTGAGCACGGAACTGAACCTAGGGGGATGGGCAAACATCCGCCAAGACCAATTATCTTCCCAGTGACTGATGTGGCTTCAGATATGCAGGTTAAAATATCCAGAGGGACTAGGGATTCTTTCTCCATTCACATTAATTCCGAAACTTGCCTGCCGTGTGATCAAGGGATTTCTATCCTAACAAGAGACGATCAAAGCACATCAGCCAGAACCTGTCTGAAGGGAACCTCTACCACCAGAGTGAGACAGAGCAACAAGCACTCAGGGGTAAAGATAGATAAAGACAGCTTACTGTGAATGGTAGGGGCACTTGGGCCTCCGTCTCACTTCCTTTGTCACTTGATGATTCTTCTGTCTGCAGATAACAGCAAAGATGCACAATGATAAACAAAACGGATCTCCCTGAACTAGCCCCTCCAAACCAACCTCCAAACAAATGACTATTAACATGCAGAATAACAGTACCCCCTGGCACCAGGCTCCCAGCAGCCCAGCCCCAAGTGGGATAGGGTGTGGGTGCTGGGAGCAGGGATGAGGGAAAGGAGGGAAGCTTCACATCACATCCAACTACCCACGCCTTTCCAAGGAATAAATACAATCTGGAGAAGGCTGTTGCTGTGTGGATATGGAAGGGGTGGAGGGGAACCCGCGGTCTTCTCCAGCATCCTCGCTGGGCAGCAGAGGAGGGGGCCCTGTACCTTGTAGTTCAGAGGGCTGAAGTGCTTGAAACATCCAAAGCAAGTGTAGGCCAGGCAGACCAGGATGGTGAGCAGCACAACCAGGAAGGCGAACAAGGTGGCAGGGGCCTTCAGACCTGGGGACAGAGATGCCAGCCTTGGAGGAAGGGGTGGAGGCCACACCTGGTGCAGGAATTGTGTGTGAATTCTCCCTATCTTCACCCCACCCCACACTCCAGCAGGTAGAATGGTGTTCTCACACAGCCAGGAGCACAGAGAGTGATCCGTGGAATGGTGACCATTATCCCTGGTCAGATTTCAGGCACTGGGAGGCCAAGTCAATGGCCATTTACAGCGTCCTTGCTGGGACAGTTCCCTCCAGTCTCTGGGAGAGACAACCCTGGGCTAGGTAGGATGGAGGCTCTCCCAGCCTGACTGTGGCAGAGTCACATGTCTTCTTTTTCTTTTTCCTGAAAGGGTCAGTTTTCCCTCCAGCATGCCCCATCTCCTCTGTTTTATAAGTTGTGAGGACCTGGACTCCTCCACAACACCCAAGCAATCTGGACCAGTTTTCCCATACCCTTGAGTTCAGTTCCACCAGAATTGATAAAGGGAATGTCTTCTCCCTAAGGAGGTCTGAGGCAACTGACCAGGCCTTCAGGAGGTTATACCCGAGCTTCAGCTAGCTCAGAGGCTAGATTAACACCACATTCTAATTGGATAACCAACCTAGCCTCCCCCTGGGGCACCACATTCTGATTGGATGCCCAACCAGCCTCACCCTGGGGCACCATGTTCTGATTGGACACCAAGTTGATACCATTAAAGCAGCAAGGGATCTGATAGGCTAGAGGGATGCAGGAATATGAGACCAAGGGCTGGGGCCCCAGGTCAGAAAGGCCACTCACCCAGGCGCAGGAAGGAGAAGAAGAAGAGCCAGAAGAGGCAGAGGATGGGAGCAGCCAAGGCCTGGTTCACTGCAGCAAAGTGGATCCTCTTCTCCAGCTTGGCGGGAAGGTAAGCGAAGTAGAGGTTGTGTCGATCCACCATGTGCTTGAGCAGAATGTAGATGAGGCCTGCAGAGGTGGGGCTGTGAGCTGGAGTCCCTGCTAGGCCCCAAGGGCATCTCTGTCCCTTTCCTCAGGATAGCAATTTTTGGCATGGAGAAGTGATCAGGCTGCTGATCTATGGCTTAAACCTGAAATTAGGCAAAATGTGCAACCTACCTGCTGGTTCTCTATTTCTCTCCTTTTCTGCATCTTTCCTCACTTTCTCCTGACCCCCAAAGAATGGCAATGTCTGTGATTCTGTCCCCATGGAACAATGAAATTCTAGAATCATCTTGGGAAAGGCTGTTTCACATGGAGATGCCTGGCCTCAATCTTCCTGGCCCTCCCATACTGAACCCCCATACTTCAGCACCCCATGCCCTCCTGCATCCTCACAGTCTACAGATGCCCAAAGATCGTACTCCAAGGGGAGGACACAGAAGGTGGGTGCTACCTTTCCTACCTGCCAAGTTCTGTTTTTTGTTTGTTTTGCAGTACTGGGCATAGAACCTAGGGCACTGGACATGCTAGGCATGCATCCTGCTAATGAGCTACACCCCCAATCCCTCTTGGTTGATTCTTTAGCAGTAAGTAACACAATGCAGT